GCTTCAAGTACTTGGGTTGCATAAAATGAAGTCATTTCTAATGTTTCTATTGAGATAAAGTGATGGGAGGGGCATTGTGTGCAGGTACAGCTCCTTACCAAGGGCGCAAGGAACCCTAGGTACAACTCTGAATGGCTGCCTCCCATTAGGAATCCTGGCAATTGTAATTTGCTGGGTTTTCTCAGTATCCCTAGTCACTCCTCCCACAAAACTACCATTTTCAGCATTCACATGGAGCTAAACTATAGTTTAAGGCTGTTGTGTAGCTATTGAGTATATTCTCAGAGTTCTGGTTCTTATGGGGAATGTGCTCAAGGCACATTGTTGAAATGTGCAAGGCATTACTAATTTGTTGTTGCCCTTCTTTTCCTTCTGGTTTTAAAATATAGGCAAGGACACATCCACAGCAGAGTCTGAAAGGGTCATTCATAGACCACAATGTGTTCTCTGGTTGTAATAGGTATGCATATATAGACATATTTCTCTGCGTAGGCCAAAGGAGTGAAAACATGTCAGAAAAATCTCTCTAGAACAAAAAGCAACAAACAAAAACAAAAAAACAGCTCTGAGATGGAGCACATGTTTGAGCCTCTCTTGAAAATGAACAAAGCACTTGTACAAAGCAAGTCACACCAAGCATACACCACTGAAGTGACTCATGCTTGTGCTGTCTGAGTTCACCTCAAGAATGTCATGAATTTCACATGACCCACCCACTTTTTTCTCTGTACCTCTGCAACTACCATATCAGCAGCCATAATTCCCTGTTGTTTAAGTGCCATATACACATATCAGCATGGCTGCAACACCCCTGAATGAACTACATTGTAATGCTCTACTTTGTTTGTTGATGCTGCTGCAAGGCCGACTTTTATCCGTTTTCTAAATTCATAGAATTTAACACCACCATTTCTTATAGCCAGAGATTTTTCTTTCAAGTTGTGTACGTATTTTAAATCCTTGTTAAAGTCTTTGCAAAAATCTCAGTGTTCCTTCCAGTGTATATTTTAATGCACTGACATATGCTGAGGTGCAGTGGTGAAGCCTCTGCACTTGCGTGGGGGTTGCGTTCCAGCTCATTTCATGTGATGGCGGAGCATGCCTAAGGCCACTCTGCCCCATTGCCCCCTGTTCAGCTTTCTTTGCTGCTGCCCTTCCAACCCCTGTTCCGCCTCCTTTTCCAGCCTCTTCTGGGACTTGCTTCAGTCGGTTGTTGCCAGTAATTGGCTGAGATGCCCTTATGTCCAGGAGAGGGAAGACAAGCAGAGGGTCTCTTGGTGTCCTTGGCTGGGCAGGGTTCCAACCCTTTTGCTTGGGGTTGATAAGCTTCCTGCCCCATAGAAGCAACCTAAGTTAATCTTTGTACCTGCTGTTTGGATAGGAGTTATTGTTGGGTTTTCTTTCATGGGGAGAGCAGCCAGCAGTGTGTTCATAGCAAAATTTCCATTCAAATTTGAAGTGTCCCAAACAAAACCCTTTAAAAAGAATATTATATCTGTGGTGAAGTATACTTGAAATTTGGGCTACTAGCTGCCAGAATTAAATTTATGGTTGCCACTACTGACCTAGAGCAAGGAAGAATGGGAGCTGGGCTTCAGAGTCTTTGTGGGGTCCATAGGAAGAACACATTGGTGGAGGAAGAGGGGGACATGGGCAGGAACTGCAGCAGCAAAGAAAGCTGAAGTTAACATATTTATTTGATATATCAAGTCAGGCCTTTGGCTGCAAAGTTCTAGTTGCATAAAAATGTGTCTAATACAGACATACCTTGGAAATATTGTGGGCAGAGTTCCAGACCACCACAATAAAGTGAGTATCGCAATAAAGCGAGTCACATACAGAAAAAATTGTTTCCCAATGCACAAAGTTACACTATACTGTATACTATACTGTGTAGTCCATTAAGCCAGGCCCCCCTGGCTGCAGGTGTGGAAGTGGGAAAACCTGGATTCAGCCCTAGACAGCTCCACTCCTGTGGCTAGAAGGGAGGGGGCAGGGGGCGTCCTTCCCTGGAAGCAGCTGGGCTGCTTGCAGCTGCACCCACCTCCTACTAAGAAGCAATACAGTGGTACCTTGGGTTAAGTACTTAATTTGTTCCGGAGGTCCGTACTTAACCTGAAACTGTTCTTAACCTGAAGCACCACTTTAGCTAATGGGGCCTCCTGCTGCTGCCATGCCGCCGGAGCATGATTTCTGTTCTCATCCTGAAGCAAAGTTTTTAACCTGAAGCACTATTTCTGGGTTAGCAGAGTCTGTAACCTGAAGCGTATGTAACCTGAGGTACCACTGTATCTGCAAAGCACATCGAAGCAAAGTGCAGTTAAGTGTGGTATCTTCCATTCTGGGGACATGACATGAGCGTAGCCAGGATCTTTGTTGGTGGGGCAGAACCTCAGTTAGTTAGTTATTTTATTTATTTATGGGGGCAACTGCCCCCTACCCCCCTTGGCTACGCCCATGGGACATGACCAATAATTTAAAATATATCCCTCCAGATTAGAGCTGGTTATCACTGAGCATCAGTAGCACAGCCCATTCCGCTGTTATTATTATCATCATCATTATTCCTTGCCCTTCCTCCAGGGAGTTCATGGTTCTACTTCCTGTTATCCTCACCACTAAGTCCAGTGAGACCAACTCCAAGGTAAATGTGTTGTTATTGTTGTTGTTACATGAAGAGACGTGCAACCTCAGCCTGAAATGTTCATGCATGCTTAATTTTGAGAAAGTGCTGCAGAACATTGACATACCTCTGAGAAAACAACAACCAAACTGTTAGGCCCTTTTGTGGAAAAGTTCTTGGTATCAGGTACACATATTTTCCAATATTATGTTGGAGAATTATTTTAATTATTTTAATAGAAACATAATTTCTTGTTGACATACTGCAAACATCGTAATTTATGCTGTGTTAGAATCTCTGCTCCTTCAAATGATTCCTATACAATAAATGCAATTATGCATTAATCCCAAAGGATGAGAATTTCATAAACTGTTAGTATTATCATAGAACTATAGAGCTGGAAAGGACCCAAGGATCATCTAGTCCAACCCAGTGGCGTGGCATGGGTTGTCAGCACCCGGGGCAAGGCAAGTAATTTGCGCCCCCTAACCCGCGGATTTGCGCCCCCTAACCCGTGGATTTGCGCACCCTAACCCTAACCCCCAGATGTTGCGCCCGGTGCGGCTGGCCCCCCCTGCACCCCCCACGCTACGCCACTGGTCCAACCCCCTGCAATACAGAAATCTCAACTAAATCACATCCGTGACAGATGGCCACCCAAGCTCTGCTTAAAAGCCTCCATGGAAGGAGAGTCCACATCCTCCCACAGTTGAACACCTCTTACTATCAGAAAGTTGGAATCTCCTTTCTTGTAACTTGAATCCATTGGTCCTAGTCCTCCCCTCCAGAGCAGAGGGCAGGGGCAAGAGCTCATCAAAAATATATTTACTTTGGTGGCATCCTTGGAAGCAACATGAAGCATGTTCCAGATCATATTTATGCCATGTTATGCTTCCACCATCAAGCAACATTGTCAGTTGTCAGAATATGACCTCAAGTTTCATGGCTTTATCCATCTTCTAAGGTTCTCTAAGAGATGGCAGGGGGACCCACAGGGTCAGTGGATAGAGGTAATAGGGTAGGCAAGTGGTTTTCAGCCAGTGTACTGTGGCACCCAGGAGTGCCTTGAATGCTGGTCAGGGGTGCCACGGGCAACATTGGCCTCTGTCCCTCTTTCCTTCCCTCCCTCCTCTGATGCCCTCTCGCATCTCTGCCTCCCAAAGACTTCTGTGGCTGTTTGTTGCAGCAGCCCTGGCTACAAGCTCCCCAGACGAAGGTGCCTCTGGGGCTGTCCATGGGGTGCTGGTTGCCAGGAGCTGAGGTGGCCTCGGAGTAAGCAAGCAAATGGGCGAGGGAGCCCAGCCAGCCAGCCCACCTGTCGTGGTCCTGTGCTGCCAGCTACGGCAGACCTCAGTGGAGGGAGAAGCCAGCCAATCAGCCAACTCTCAGGGGGGTACTTTCCTGGAGGCAGTGTCCGTATACAAGGCCCAGTCCAGTCCTAAGATCAGAAGTATCTCAGTTCATGTAGTCAGACGATCCGGGGGTCAAGAAAGCTGAGGGTCACGAGGAGCACGAAGCAGCAAGGTCTGGTCAGGAATGTTGTTTCCAGCAACTGACTGAGGCTGGAAACCCTGCTTCAGAAAGCTGGAGCCAGCTGGTTCTCATCAGGAGCAAGAAGGCTGATCAGCAGAAGGTGGAGTCCCTTTGCCTTCAGGCTGCTGCTCAGCAGGTGAAGCCGACTCCTGGCCCATGATACCACTAGCCCTTGCTGTTGGGAACAGACGGACAAATGGGAGGCCGGGCAGGCGCCTTGTTGGCCTTTCTTGTGCTTGCTGTGCGCGATGCCTGCCTGGGAGTTGAGTCCCCCGCACTAAAGGGGAGTCTTTCTGCCATGCAGGCCCAGCAGTATCCACTGCTGCCTCCCAGGGTGACTAAGCTGCTGGCCTCACATTCACCTTTGGCCATTATCTGTCAGGGCAGCTAAGGCTGGGGAAATCCTCTTCCCGGGCCCCGGGGGAGTGTGTGGAGTGAGGAGGAACCTTTCGTTGGGGTGGGGGGGTTGGCTCAGAGACCAGGGGCTGCCCGGAGGAGAGGAGGCTGAGGGAACACTCCACAAGGGAGGGTGTTCAAAAAGGGGTGAAGGGCTGCCAGCTCCTGCAGGCAAGGGGTGACATAACTGGGCTTCTGAGACTTGGAGCACATTTCCCCACAGGGGAGCAGCAGAAAGAACATGGTTGGTCTGGGGTTTTCTGCCTGATTTAATATACTTCACCTTGAGCCTCAAGACGCAGACAGGCTCTGCCCTCTATGAAGTATCATCACTTAGCCAGAAATGCTGTAATCTTTCACTCCACCCCCTTGATTATTTCGGTCACCCTTTTTCCATGTTGAGGATGTCACTTCTTTACCTGTGAATGTCAAAGATGGGGCATGAATGTGCAGGAGGTTTTAGACTTTTATTTCTGCTACATTCAGAACTTTCGGACAAAAGTTGATTTCTTTAGGGCGATGAGGTGCAGAGGAGGTCAGGAATCTGTTATCTTTAATAGGTAGAACAGGGAATCTTGGCTCCAGCTAGTCAAGAAGATGTAAAAGCTGTAGATGAAAAAACACACAATTCTTTAATCTACAAAATGATTAAAAGGGAGCAGAACAGGAAACATATTCTTCTTTGCAACTGGCAAACCCTAAGAAAGCATTTCACTTTCATAACAAAAAACATACACATAAACATCACATTTCTGTATCTCCTAAGAGGCACAGATTCAGATTAGTGCCTTCTTCGCCATCATAAAACATCCATATATAAAAATTTAAAATATATACAAATAAATAGCCACATAAAATATATAATACGGATTTCCACTGGCCATCCTGGCTAGGAGGCATCAATAGCCCTCTCCTCCTCTATACATTTGTCTAAGCCTCTATCGCTGCCTCCTGCAAGAGTGAGTTCCACAGTTTAACTCTGCACTGCTTGAATTAGAATAACAGAATATAGAATATTAGAGCTTGAAGGGTCCCGAGGGTCATCTAGTCCACCCCCCAAGCAATGCAGGAATCTGTGGTGCCCAGAACTGGGCACATTATTCCAGGTGTGGTCTGACTAAGGCAGAATAGAGTGCTACTCTTACATCCCTTGATCTATACCGACAAGACTTTTGTTGATGCAGCCTAGAATAGTGTTAGCCTTTTTTGCTGCTCCATCACACTCTTGACTCATGTTCAGCCTGGGGTCCACCGAGACCCTAAATCCTTTTCACATGTACTGCTGGTAAGCCAGACGTCCCCCATCTTATACTGGTATAGCTAGATCTTCCTGCCTAAGTGCAGAACCTTCCATTGGTCCCTACTGAAATTCACTTTCTTAGCTAGCGCCCAGTTCTCCAATCTGTTCAGGTCCTATTGATTTCCCATTCTGTCTTCCACTCCGACTCCCCCCCCCCCGCCGCCGCCGCCAGGATATCCTACGTCATGACGCAGCCGCGTCTCGCGCGCTGGGACGCCCCTCCTCCGTCTTGCTGGGCGGAGACGAGCGGGACTACAGCTCCCGAAATGCACTGGGCTGGCCGGACATGCCCCCGGGGCCGCCGCAAAGAACGTCACGAGCAGGAGCCGGAAGCGGCGTGTGATGGCGGCGGCGGCGGCGGCGGCGGCGGGCGGGCGGCCCCGGGGGCGGCGGCCTAGGGCGGGCGGGGCTCCGGAGGCCTCGTCCTTCGCGGGAGGGGCCGGGCTGCACCCATGGACGACAGCAAAGTAAGTGGAGGCGCCGCGGGGGCGGCTCCGCGGGGGGCGGCGTGGCAGCGGCCCTTCTCCGTCCCGGGAGGCGGTGGCGGGCCGAGGAGCTGCTGGACGACAACTCTCGTCCCCCGGCCACCGGGCCTGCTGAGAGCTGGGGGTCGTGGGAGTTGTAGTCCAACAGCTGCTTGGACCCCCCCCCCCCGAGGAAGGCGATTGGAAGGCTCTCCAAGCCAGATGATGATGATGATAATATAAAATGTGTATGTGCCTTAATCCCAGGGTTGCCAGCCCTTTTGGCCCTGCGTGGACACTTGCGGGTCTCACAGGCACTCTGCTCTCTGCAACGTGTTTTGTTGGTACGAGCCCGAAGCAGCAGGAGCCCCGTCGAGGCAGAAACATCCTCAAACCAAATTCTGCCCGTTTGTTTTCGGTCCTGTTGTGAATTTTGTAAGAACCACCCTGGAGAACTCTTACTGATACTGCCCTGACCGAAGAAAAATGTGTTTCTGCTTTCTAGGTAGCTGGAGGGAAAGTGAAGAAACCAGGGAAACGGGGCCGTAAACCAGCCAAAATAGATTTGAAAGCTAAACTTGAGAGGAGCCGGCAGAGCGCGAGAGAATGCAGGGCGAGGAAGAAGCTGAGGTACCAGTACCTGGAAGAGCTGGTTTCAAGCAGAGAGAGAGCCATATGCGCCCTTAGAGAAGAGCTGGAAATGGTAATGTGCTTTCTCTCTTTTCCACCTTACCCCCAGTTTTGAGCCAGTTCTGTGGGTCCAGAGCATAGCAACAGCTTCTGAGTTGTGTGCGTTCATGCAAGTACAGTCATACCTCTTGTTGCGTTTGCTTCAGGTTAAATCTTTTCAGGTTGCGTCCCACAGCGACCTGGAAGTAACGGAACAGGTTACTTCCGGGCCTCGCCACTCGCGCATACGCAGACGCTCAGAATGATGTCATGTGCAGAAGCGGCAACCCGCGCACGCACAGGCGCGGGTTGTGTTCTGCTCATGTTGCGAACGGGGCTCCAGAACGGATCCCGTTCGCAACCAGAGGTACCACTGTATGCTGTTTTCCCCTGTGGCCAATGTCATTACGTCCCCAGGATCTCTGCTTAGGTGTCTGAGAGCAGGGAGTTGCCACACTCTACTTGGAAATGCTTACACGCCTGAAGGCATGTCCTGTTCAAGGAAGAGAACAGAAAACTCGTACAGGATATGATTTTTAAGATATTTTAATTATTACCCAGTTTTCTTATGAAAGCTGATTTGAAAACAATTTATTGAAAGGCAGAATGTAATTACTGTAGCCGAATAAGGGTTGTTGGGACAAAAAAGTGAGATGCCCTGTAGATCAACAGAGTTGTGTGTACTTAAACAACAAATCCAAATTAAACTCCAATAAAAGTTTGACACTATTTAAATTAAGCAGATTTGCCAGGTTTATTGATTTTTTGGTCATCCTTTATTCTGCCATTTTTGCCACTTGGCAAGGAACTTCGCAAGACACTGAAAATATGGCCCTTGACCAAGAAGAAAATCTTGCCAAGTGACCAACTGACAAGCAACCAAGAGAAGAACTTGCTGCAATGCCACATAGCCCTGCTGATGAACACTTCCACACCCCCAGTCCAATAATCACACATGTACAACAGCAGAACTCTCTTTTTAAAAAATAAGATTTTATTAAAGCTTTTTCCTAAAACAAGAAAAGGAAAGAAACTAATCTAAATAAAAACAAAAATAAACAGAGAAAGAGAGAACAAAACAAAGGAAAACCAAAAAAAAAAGAAGAAAAGAAAAGATGAGAAGAAAAATAAAAGGGACTTCTGATTTTCCATCTGTCAGTTACACAAAACAAAATATTCACTCTAGAATGACACCAAGCTGATCTACCTTCTGTTAGGCAGTATCTCCCCAATCTTCCAACCCAAATAGATTAATTCATCTTCCTTTTTACATAAAAAGACCCAAAGAAACTCTCCATTATTAATAAATGTCAACACTTCCGGGGAGGAACATGGCAGACTGAACGTCTTCCTCAAGCAACTTCCCGATAGAACTAATTACATACTGATTGATGATAGCCATGGCTTTAATCTTTGCTATTTAACAGCAGAACTCTAATGATCACAACTGAAAGTAAAAAAGTGCAGCCCTCTGCTTTTGCAAGCCAGTTTATTTTTATGTTTGTGTTTTTAGTACAAGCAGTGGTGCTCAGCAATGGATCAAGGGAAAATCCCCTCTGAAATTAAAGCTCTGCTAAGCGGGGAAGAGCAAAGTAAACCACAGCAGAACATGGCCAAGGTTGGCAAGGCTTCAAAGATGGATGCAAACAGTCACAGTTCCTGTAAGTACTAGTTTATGAAGGTTCTTATGGCTGCGAGAGTAGACCAAGATGTGCAGATGGGGAAGAGGGGTCATATAGTCTTACTGTTAAGTGCCTCAAGTGCTACACACTGTACAGCCACTTACATTTAGAAAGAACATGCCTACCTGGAGGCTTATTAATAGGGTAATGTGAAAATAACAGCATAGATCCATCACAAAATCGTGGATTGTCCTGTGAGCACCCTGGCTGAGCAGATGTGAAGGAGAAGCTGTTTGAGTGCTTTTCTCTTTGTTACCCATTCCCTTTTTTATTCGTTTGTGAACCTGCGGGGAGGCCAACTTATTTTTTAACTCATTCACAGAGCTTAGAAAATTCCAGGTGCTTTCTTAAGGGCTTTAAAAAACGGGTCAAGGGACAGGGTAGCTCAAGGTCTGCCTTTTCCTGTCTTCTTGGTCTCCGTGATCGGTCTCAGAGGCCTTTCTAGTGAGCTGGGCAGTGACCTGAGATATGGCTTTTTCAGTTTCCGACACCTGGACTCCCAGTGCCGCTGCCTGATGTCTTCTGAGGTGAAGACCTTTTTATTTGCCCTGACCTTCTAGGTCCAGTTTTTATGTATTGTTTTTGTCTGACTGCCCCTGGTTTTCTAACCATGGATTTGTTATTTCTGTGTATGTGCACATGTGCACACTTCTCCCATTGGTAGCCACTATATGGGAAGCTTTTGCCTGAAGAGTAGGGTGCAGACCCCTCAAATTAAAAATAGAAGGCTAATTATGTGGTGGAGGGGAAGTGAGGCCACAGTGTGAAGCCAGGCAGGATGGCTTATGAAGCAGCTCAATACTTACTCAGTTCATTGAATTCCGTCCATACATTCAACTGAAAGTCCCCAAGTCTTGAGCAGTGAAGCTATGTACACCCTTAAGTCAACTTGCCTTCTATGCTTCATGTAAGGCCATTGTCTTAACATCTTCTGGTTGCATCTTGTCTTTGTCACTTATTTGCTGGTTGAAATTGTGAATAGCTATAAAATATTGTTGTATTTTATTTCTCTTGCAGGGTGAAGGTGGAACAGCCAAGATCAAAGTCCCTATTTTATACTACCAACACTGATTTGTAGTCTTTATGCTAAGCTTCCCTTCCACTATGATGTGTGGCAATGCTGCAGCAGCAAAGAACTTGATCGTTGAGGTGAATCACCAAAATAACCCAATGGCAAGCCAACAGAATTAAACCTACAACTTAAAAAAAAACCCAGTTTGTTATATAGATATAGAAACTACAACTTACGTGTATGTAGATATTTCTGCTGTGACAGTGAAGGAAATTTCCGACCTTGCTGTTATAATTGCTCATGGTTTATGTGTTGGATTTTTCTGTTTAGTATTCATAGGAGTGGCTATTTAAGAAACCATGTGCAGCAAAGGCTGAGATCTTGGCCATCTGGTATCAAAGTAGTCTGTTATGTGTATGGTATTTATCTGTGGTCCATGTTGTAATAATAATTCCAGTTTCCCATGGTGGGCTGGAAGTATGTAATGGGTTTACACTTCTGTTATTTCTGACCTAGTGCAGCATTGTGGCTGAGAAGAGGAGGTCCCTGGTTCAAATCTCGCCTCTGCCATGAATTCCCTTAGGCAAGGCAACTCAGAGGGATAATACTGACTTTTCTTTCTACAGGGTTGTTTTAAGCATACAAGTGTTACCATGTCTGTGAGATGCTTTTTGCGTACATTCCTATGCAAAACTCCCTGCAGACAAAAAACTAGCACAGGTGCAGGTGGGAATGGGCTGTTATGCTCGGTGTGTGCTTGCTTTTTTGGTAGTAAGGAACCAATCAAAAACAGTATGTCCCACCTACTGTCTATAGTGCTAAAGTCCTTCTGTCACCTCAGTCTGCCACCTGTGTAGACCAGGCCTCAGTCAATGTTTCCCAAACATTTGACAGGCAAAGAACTGTAAATAAGTGTATTGTTAAATCAAGCTTGAAGGGAGACTTTCCATTCTTTTTCAAAAAGATACCTCTGTTTGCAGAATCAATGGATAGGCATTCTCCTTGCAGTTCCAGGGCAGCCCAGTTAACGTGGCTTCCCACCCTCCCTTTTGCCCAGTCAGCCAGGGATCGGGGATGGCACTGTGTTGGCTGGGCCATGCCAACACTCCTGGGATTCTCCCGCAGCCACCAGCTCTGGGGCAAGCTCCATTAGTAGCCCCCTGTGTCCCATTTCTCCTTTGGGATGATGTCACTGTCCACCTATTGGTAGAGAGCAGGGGAAGGCAGCCCCACACAGGATCGCTCTGCACTGAGCAGCATGAGAGTGGTGGTGAAGACGTCCAACATAGTGGCTTAAACGTACCTTTATAAAAACGGAGCCATGCTTGTGAGCCCTATTCCCACAGTTGGTGAATTGCTGTTCTGTGCCACAGTCAGGACTCTGGGCCACCCTCCTCCCATTCAGGCATGCCACATGCCGGCACTCCTTAAGGCTCCCCTACTGCAGGCTTACCCAGCCATGGATTAATTTGACCTATTAAATTAAGTCTTTCAAGGGTTCATTGTTTTGTGACATGAGGTGGCCCTTTTTACACCCAAGTGAAACTATCTCCTTGAAAGTAAAATCCTGCTGGAGTGTATCTGAGCAGGCGCCCTTTTGCTTTAGACTTCTTTAGCTTGTGTGACTGTCTGCCTGTTTGGAACCTGCTTATTGATGCTATCATTGAGTCAAAACCTAATGCATTATTCCTTGCTTCCTCAACGCACCCAAGGAGCAGCTGAGTGGGACTGGGGTGGGGTGGCATTTCTCACCTGGCTGGCTGACAGCGGGAGAAAGAGAGGAAGAGAAATGGTCTGCCCATCTCTCACCACACTGACTTTGCTCTTGCTGAAGTGACTTCATTAGCGGGACTGCGCACAAATTAACAAGAGGGTGAACTGGGGCGGGTATTTTAGGCAGCATGTTGAGTAGATGTATTATAGCAGGCTGACTCCGATGCAGGGCTTTTGATGCAGGATGCCCTGCAGGCTCCATTTAGAGCAGAGCTCTCCAAACTTTTCATGTTGGTGACACACTTTTTAGACATGCATCACTTCGCGACACAATAATTCAGTTTTACTGGAGGTCAAACTAACCCCTTATAAGATCGTTCACGTGACACACCTACACACTAATGTGTTGTGACACACAGTTTGGAAAGCTCTGATTTAGAGTCTGACTGTAGCATTGTGCATCAGAAAGGGAAAATTTAATCTCTTTCAGCTTGATGTCTTGATCACTCACATATATTTGCTGTGAAGAAAACACTTAAATTCTTGTAAGACTCCCAAGTCTGTCCTTTTTTGTTTTATATTAAAGTGGATGTAACTTCAAACATTTGTTCACTTTTTATTAGCAGGGGTAGCAAAAAGCTCTTCAGAGGGTGGGGGCAGAAAGAAGGACTGTGTTGCACATTGTCCTCTGCACTTCAGGGCCAGAACAGCTATGACATTAAGTGCTTTTAGTATATTCCTGCCCTGCCCTGTCTCACCCCTTAACAAGGGGGTCAATGAAAGCTCCCATCTTGGGTCAAACGTGGGAGGGGAGGTTTTGGTGGAACTGGCAGAGGTGTAAAAGCGTTAACCCCACTTCCCCAATATACTCTCTGGTCTGAACTTTGTTTGCCTTCGTCATGGTGACTTATTATTTAAGGGAAAATCAGCCCATTAAATGCATTCACGTGCTTAAAGTTACATATTTTGGGGCTTTCATACATTGGCCCATCTTGTGTAAGAGATTGAAGGCAGGTTTTCTTACCCATCTAAGGGTGTCCTCTAGTATAGCACTTTGCACATCTTAGTTGCCATGCTTCTTTCTTGTGCAGGGAAAAATCGAGGGCTGTAAGAAGGTTTCCTCGTTAACTCTCAGGGAAGGCTGGATCTCAGGGTTCCAGGATCCAGGGAAGTTATATGTGATGCACAAAGGCTTCTTCACTAGTTGTACTAATATGAATGACAAGAATGCCCAGTGGGAGATATCTGAGAGCCCATAGAAAGTTGTGAATACCAGTTAACATGACTGGGCTCCATTAAAATAAATGAAAGCTATATAGGTGCTATAAATCAACGAATGAATGGATTCTGACAAGTAGAAGGTCACAGGAACAGACCACATTACCCACATTGATGAAGAAATGATGGGGAATAGCATCCATGTCTGTTGTGAATCAATGCGTTGGACAGTGGGAAGCTGTGTCCTGCTGTGGCAGAACTAAGAGGCATCCCCCCCCCTTTCCTTCACATGTGTAAAATGTGGAAGGGGGTTTCTCTTCCCTGGGCTGGGCCACTTCCTAGCTGAAATAATTAAAAAAACAACCTTGGAGGCATCTTACCAAGGTAGCACCCAGCCTCCCCAGACTACAACTTCTATACTTGACTGATTCAATCAGCATAGGATAGTCATTAATTCAGGGTTTACATTGTGCCTGCAAAGCCTAGAATGTGTAGAGCAGAACTATGAATTTCTTTAGACCCTATTATAATTTTATTAGGATTCTTAGAAGAAATTGGATCAGAAGCAGAAGAGGAATTAATTTATTCCTTCCCCTATTTTCATAACCTACTATTTGGTTTAACATATTTCAAGCTTGCCTTTTGTCAAAGTAAATCCAAGGGCAAGGTACAAACAATAAAATCCCCTCCCCCCAAAGCATAAGAAAAAACTAATGTGCTTTAAGGAGGTGCTGCAATGAAAAAAAGGTCAGTGGTGGCTTTATTTTTCTTCTTTTTAAAATTAAATAAACATTTATTCAAAAGTATACAGCTTTGTCCACTGCCATAATATCACAAAATGATCACTCCGATTCTCAATCCCACATCACTGGCATGTTAGCTTGCCAAATAGGAACCCAACTACAGATCAGGTGGGCTAGACATTTTCAATCAATATATCCCCTCCACAAACACCTCTGTGATGATGGTGGCATTAAAATATCCTGTTCTTCAATAAAAGAGAAAAAGGGAGACCAGATCGTGCCAAAGGTATCTTTTTTGGAGATGCCTTTGATTAGTTGTGGCAGCCTTACTTCAAAGGATGTCTATACGGTGACATCAAGGTCCCATGTCATGAGGCTCTGACAATCCTTTTGTCCATTTTCCTCAAAATGCATAGGCCTTGTGTATAGATGGGACCTCCCAGGAGTGGGAGTTAGACAGGGCCACAGATGCCCACTCCGCTATATGACCACAGCTGCATAGCCATCTGTGCAGGGCGTTTCCCTAGCCTTTGTCATAGGACCACAATTCTCAGAGATCCTCCCATGTTTAAACTCAGAACGGATCTGGCTTTACTTAAGGAGTAGCTGCAAGTCAAATGCATTTAGCAAGTTTTATTGTCAGTGTAGATTATTATTGGGATGCGGGAAAGGAAGCAGTGCACTAGCGTTTCATGCCAAGGTGTGTGCATTTACATGCTTACACTACAGTCAAGATGCATCCTCTCGCTTAACTTCTAGATTGGGAAAGGGTGAAAACCACTTGGCTCTAGATCTCTTAAAAGGCTCCCCAACATATCCCCCAAAGGCATCATAGAAGAGACATAACAAGATGGTCTGTCTTTAGCAGGACACTTGTGTTGTGAAGTAATTGATGAGTTTACTGCTTTTTACATTAACAGTTCAATCTGCAGTATTCCCATCAGTTGAAAAATAAATTTAAATTCAGAGAGCATGAAATAGTTATTTAAAACAAAAACAGAAAACATCCAGTATACAATAAATCAGTGGATTTAAGAAAACATTTATTCTCCCTGCCAAATTGTATGCAAACCCGCCCCCAGCTCAAAATAGATCAAATCTTTTCATAGTTCTTTGCTCCAATTGTGCAAATAATTGTTGAAATGACTGGAATTAATCAGAGAAATGTATTTGTTGGGTTTGAATTAATAGGCCAGGCAAGCTTCTTCTCTTTTGCTTCTCTATCAAATGAATCATATATGGAGTCTTTGGAAACAGTTTTGGCTGGCGCAGGGATTTCGGAGATCCCAACATAATTTTTTTTGGCTATCTTTGAACTGGTGGTGATGGTATATGCATTGCTCCGGTAGCATTTCATAGAGGACATGCAGAAGGTCTCTTTCATCCCTCTCCTGAAGTTTGCATTATACACAGAGTACAATGTAGGCTTTGAAGCAGAGGAACTAAAGGATATCCAAGTGACTGACATAAAGACCAAGGAGCTCTTTCTGTAGTCTGTCTCAAGTGGATGCCAAAGTTGAACCACATAAAATGGGAGCCACGAGAGCAGAAAAAGCAAATTTAACATTAGGAACATCTTGATAGTTTTCACCTTTGTCCTCGGAACTATATTCATAGTCCTCCGAACCGTCCGACCATCTGTACCTATCCGCCAAATATATTTTATTACTTTTTGGTAAAAAAGGATGATCAGAACAGATGGAATCAGAAAAGCCACCAACAAATGGATGGTACCATAAAGAGCCCCGTCCCAAGAATATGGCAGGAAAAAGTTGCAATGGTTGTCCCAACCCGACCCAAAAAAGAAGAAAGCTGGAGACACTAGTGCGGCATCGAAGATCCAAGATGCTGCAATCATTTTCTTGGCTTTTCCCCGGGACACCTTGAAACTTAGCGGGTATACAATAGTATAGAATCTGTCAACACAGATGGAAAGCAACACGTAGTTCTGGACACCGGGTATGAGATACTGAAAATATCTTACTAGCTTACACATCATGCTCCCAAGTGCCCAGCTCCCAGAGGCTAGCTGAAGAAACACAAATGGAGCACTCCCTACGCTGATCAGTAAGTCTGCACAGGCCATGGAGACCACAAAGTAATTGGTGGTAGACTGAGTCCGCCTGCTCCTGTGGATCACCAGGCAAACCAGGGAGTTTCCAAAGATGGAGAATAGCCATAAAGCTCCAAAAAGCAGGCTGGCTGCTATGATCTCTCCTTGCATCAACTCATACGGTGAGGCTGTACCATTTTTCTCAAGCCCGTGTTCCTTGGGTAAAGCAATCATTTCATTGCTTGCCAGAGGGCTAGAGGTTTCTTCATGGTGGCGGTTCTGCTGCAGCAGCAGCCCTGAAGTTGGGGCAAAGTAGAGCAGCTTTGGTATCCATCTCATGGGCAAGCAACATATTCAGCCTTTGCTTCCAAGGGCTGCATGGAGAGAGAAGGCCAAGTGTTAGTCTGAATGGGGTGGGGGAAAGCACTCTTAGTAAAGAACAATATATTTTGTCTTTAAATATATACTGGATTAATCCAAGCCAATAATTAATCCTAGCTGAGTCCACTGCCCTAATCCTATTAAGCACTAGTTCTCAAAAGGTGTGGAGCACCACCCTGGATGGCAAAGGTGAAGGGAAGATTCAAGGACAATCAAAGAAACATTTAAACATTTCAGGGTACTATAGTATAGTATTAAAATATTTTTATTTATTTGCAGAATATGGATAGATATATTTTCAAAAAGAGAGCAAGAGCATCAAGTGATACTGAGGACAATCTTAGTTGTAACCAGAAGCGCCGTTTGCTGGAGAGGACACATTTATAATTATATTTAGAGAATGATTCTTGTTCTTATATAACTACATTGTTTTTTGGGTGTCCCATGATCACCTTATAAAGTAGTTGTGTTCTATATTATAAATCAAGCACTGTTTATCAATTAAAATTTTGGTGTGGTATGAGAATTTTTTTGTTCTGAAAGTTCGGCCCTGTGAAAAAAGTTTGAGAGCCACTGACTTCAAGCTACAACAAAGGAGATTAAACATCAGGAAGAATTTTCTGATGGTAAGAGCTGTTTGACAGTGGACGTTCTACTTCCTTGGAGGTTTCCTAAGAGGTTGGGTGGCCATCTATCATGAATGCTTTAGCTGAGATCCCTGCATTGCAGGGAGTTGGACTGGGTGACCCTCAGGGTCCCTTCCAAATCTACAATTCTATGAGTCTTTCTGTTTTATTTACACTTTTAAGCAATGCAAGTGGTGTGTAGCCCGTCCCATTTGCTGCTTGAGGCAAAACAGAAAGTGGAGCTGCTGCTGCTGCTGCTGCTGAGGCCCCTTGCTCTGCCGCCACCATGTGCCCTGCTGCATCCACCACTCAGGGAGCACTGACTGGGGGCAAGATCATGCTGGTTTTTGGTGACATTGGCATGCCCTTGTCCAAAACGGTGCTGCTAATGGTTGCATTTCTCTCCTGGTGGGTCTGCTGCCTGGGAGGCTTTTGCGGCCTGAAGCAGTGCTCTCACCGTGCCCAAGGGCCAGGCCGGCTCTGCCTCTTACAGACTGTGGCCTCCCTTCTGGATACTGCATCCCACTCCAGGTTCAAATCTCTCTGGCAAAAATCTTCAGAATAAAACCGTTAAGTTCCTC